ATATGGACCAATGGATTTTCCATAGATCATCCATAATTTTCCATAGAATATCGGAATATCTATGGATGATCATCTGTAGACATAGAATCCATAGAATCCATATGAATCCATAGATCATCAATGAATATCTATAGATTATCCATAGGATTATCCATCAACTATCCCAAGATATCCATGACAGGCGCGGCCGCGATACCCGGTGCTTCACGTGATCTCTTCGCTCTGAACCAGCTTCGGGTGCGCCTTCGTTGCGCGTTTTAAGCGAAGGGATGGAGTGGTGGGATTTCACATGAAAAATTGGGATTTTTCACATGATTTAACCATGATTTAACCATGAAACCATAGGGATATTACCAGTGATTTAACACTGAAGCCATAGGGATATTATGGTATTTTTTTAAAACAATCAGTGAAGAATGGATTGGATCTTAGAATGGAGATTACCACCCCAGTTATGAGAGTTTTCATGGGGAAAATGAGGATATACCATCAAAATTTGGGGGGTACCCTGTATGCGCAAAAGGTGATGGTTTTTTATGGAGGAAATGTTGGGGGAACCCTGCATGAAAAGTTTGTAAATCAGAAATTGTGGGAATTGGAAGGACGGTTGGAGCACATACAAACCCCAACATTTTGTGGCTTTGATGGTGGTGGTGGTGGTTTCATGTCGTTTTGTTTCAGTAAGCAACGGGTCATTCATGGCGGTGCGATTTCGGGGATTTTTCCATCGATCCAAGATTTCCATTGGAGCCATCGACTACTGTTTTCGGCTCCTGAAAAAAATTAAGGGAAAACCTCCAACGTTGATTTATGACTGCTGATCATGATTTCCACATTTGAAATTGATATATGACTGCAGGTGCATTCCTGCATTTTCAGACAAACCCATACGGATTCTCAGTTTTGTTGGTCTAGAATTCTAGAATGGGAAAACACTACATCTTCCGCTAGAAGTTGCGAGCATTTTTAGTCATTCGCATTCCAGTTTTGTTTCGAATTTCCTTGGGTCAAGTTTCGCCCAACCGTGCAGGGTCAATGCGAAAGCCAGCGGCGGCGCTTGACCCAACTGGAGAGGCGAATGGAGGTTCAATTGGAGGAGACCGTACCACGGGTTCGTCAGGGATTTGCCCAGGACGAAACCATGCAGAAAAACTTGACATTTGGAGTTGAATCAAAGAAGAACACACATATTTCTACCTTTTCTTGCGAAAGGTTTACCATTTGAAGAGCTAATCAACCTTCAAAAGTGGGGATTTTTGCGCCACCTTAATTAGATAGATGGATATTCGTATCATACGCAGCCAGAGAGGCCATGTATTTTGGCGATCCAGAGAACATTTTGCCTGAAACTTTTTTTTTGGTGGCAACAACGAGATATTTAACCGGTTTTGGGATTCCTGTAACCAGTCTGAGAGATTGTTGGTTGGCATCGCCATTTCTACGATCCTCCATTTGATGGAAGTAGAGTTTTCCTCAGTTTCAGCTTAGGATCTGTCGTGACTCATGTGGTCAGCTGAGTACATAGGGGATGAACAACCACTGGTTGGATGCTTTGGAGATGTTTCTGCCATTGGAGGATTGTAACATGTACATATTCTTGCACAGAATAAGCCATTCCAAACAATAACGTGGCCAGGTTCATCCCCATAGTAGAGGATGTTCATAGATGAGCTGCCGATTCATCTTGGCTTTTTACATTGCCACTTCATTGTTGGTCAATTTATCTTCCAGACTGTGTTGTTTATAATCTGACCAGGATATTATATGACTCAGATGATTCACCTAAACCATAATCCACAAACCAAGGAGACAAGCTGTAGATGTTTCAGATTTTGGAGCGTACTAGACCTGATATTCATCTCTTCCAATCACTGGAACCAGGGATCCACAATAAACCGTCTCGCTGCGCAAGTGGATGATTTATGGCTTGTGGATCCCACAAAAAATGTGTGAAATTCGTCTTTGGCTGGAGGTTTATGGAATTGGGAGCAATTTTCAACTGAATTATCCAATCATCAACTGAAATATCAGCAGACTGTCAGTTTTTCATGATATGTAATTTGCATATTTGGATACATATCATGTCAATATATCACATGCCATATATATATAATATACATATCTCCCTCTCGCTCTCTCTCTCTATATATATATATATATCCATATATGACATGTAAATATGTATATGTATATCCATATATATCCATATATCATATGCCATATATCCGTATATAATAGATGTATACCATATATATATATATATCATAATACATCATGCCACGCCACAAAAAATCGAGGTGATCCATCGAAGTCTGCTGGCACCGCAGGACCGGCTCCAAGGTAAGGGTGACCTTCGAGAGCGTTGGGCAGAGACGCAGGCGACCCGAGCAACCCGAATGGGAATGAAACGTCCATGGCGAGTTGGAGAACAAATCAGTTCTTTAAATGGATAACTGAGATGAAGATTAAACAAGTTGAAGATGAAGTTTGATTGAACATTTGATTTAAGAAGTTGAAGATGAAGTTTCATTGAGAATGATTGTGGAAACAATGATTTCCAACAATGATCTATGAAACACATGGCCGGGAAAAAATGATTGAACTGATTTTTTTTTTTTTAATTGAGATGTTTGTGGAAGACAAAGCAGACATATTTTGTTTGGGTGACTTTTTGGTGCTGTTGAATCAACAGTAGACAGACAGGTCAACAAGACTTCGAAGTATGTAACTGTTGACTGCACTGATGAGCCATGGCAACCAGATAGAAAGGATACCCTCTGGTAAACTGTCACATAACTATGGAAAATCACCATTTTCAATGGGAAAATCCACTATTTCTATGGTCATTTCCAATAGCTATTTTGACATAACCAGAGGGTAAAAGTGAGGTTTCCATGGCAAACACCTCTACGGATTTCCCGGTTTGATATTCCGTCAGTGGAATCAGTTTGATGGTTGCACGTAGCCCCTGATTATTTAACATAGCTATGGTATAGATGGCCCATTTGTATATAGATGACTTATGATGATTTACCTATTAGAAATGGCGAGATTTCTATAGCTACGTTAGACTACGTTAAATCACCGGAGGGTATGTTGAATCTTCCTTTTAATTTTTGCAGTATGGGATGCGGTTCGGGATCGCGGTTCTCCAGGTTTTGGATCAAGCTTTAAGATTCCGTGAGATGAAAATGAGTCAAAATGACCAAGCCCTCCCAACATGGATCTGGGTAAATTATAACGACCTCACTGATCTCCCTCACTGGAAATCATGGTGAATGTATAGGGAAATCATCCCCTTTTATGGCCGCAAGATTCAGGTTTGTGAATTATTGTAATTTGCCCAGAATATATCAGTTATTACCACCTATCCAGTTCTAACCCATCCACTTTTCCAACTATGAAAGATTATAACCCATTTATTGTAATTTGCCCAGAATGGATGCTTGAATGCCCGAAATCGGTAAGGCTTTTTTGGTGAATCTGTTGAATCTGTTGGTCAACTTTTGAGCAGCGATGAGGTGTTTCGGAGGCCCCTTTTTCAGCGGCTTGGCATGTCATTCTGTAAGGATGACCCCAGATGACCCCAACTGACAACTCCAACAAAAAGATGGTTGTCAATGGTATATATGGTATATACCCACCCCGGCCATGGTATTTTTTCTGAAACCTGATGATAAAATCATGGGATTGTGGGGGTTTGCCGTAAATTCTCAGACAAATCCAGCCAAGCTCATCCAACCTCTAGCTCCTCACGTGCTTACGAAACGCTTCGCGGCAATGCCATGGCGTTGAGCACTGGCACAGCGCGTGCACGTTGAGTGCCCACAGAGGCGCGGTGATCACATTTGGTGCTCAAAATTGGAGACTCGACAACAGTGGGAACCTGAAATGGGGTCAAGAAATGGGGTGTACCCTCTGGTAATTTGTTACATAGCTATTGAAAATGACCATAGAAATAGTGGATTTACCCAGCTATAAAATGGTGATTTTCCAGTTCGCTATGTTAGTTCACCAGAGGGTACCATGGTATGCCATGGTATATTTGATTATATTTGTATTTTCTGTTTTCCCAGAAAATGGCAATGGTGACAATGATGATGCGTCGCATGGTTTGGGGTTTGGGGTACATGACTTTCAGACATACACCCATGGCATGGTCGGTACATGTTGGTACTAAATATGACAATTCTATTTGTAGGGCCAGAGGGGCTGTCAAAATGGACGCATCGCCCGGCTATGAAACTGGCCAATCAGTCAAGGGAAAATCATCGCATTCCCTTAGATTAAGATGAACAGATTCATTAATATCATATAAATCATGTATATATATAATATATATAATATATATATAATATATATATACATACACATAAACCAAGGTTTCTCGGTGTGGTTATCAAAAAACTTGGTGCTTCACGCCAGTAATTTCTTGAAATCTGGCATGGGGGATCCCCAAATCCAAGTCGACCATGACTTTGAAACTTGAAACCATGGTGACTTGAGAATTCCCCATGACTCATGAAACCTCCCGTAAATGGGGAGACATTAAGCTCAGCAGCTACACATCAACTTTGCAAGATTTGCCAACCTTCCCACGGTTGAAGTTCGATTGTCTGCACATAAGGTACCTCCAAATTCTGGCAGGTTACCATCCTGAAACCCTCAATTTCATGGTCATAAAATGCACATCCTGAATTGGTCAAAGTTGCTTATGTATACTGTATATACTGTATATACTGTATATACTGTATATACTGTATATACTGTATATACTGTATATATGTGTATGTGTATGTGTATGCGTATGTATATGTATACTGTATATGTATACTGTATATGTATATGTATATGTAT